TAATACATAAGGGGGGATATGATCTCCATGTATAATACATAAGGGGGGGATATGATCTCCATGTATAATACATAAGGGGGGATATGATCTCCATGTATAAATACATCAGTGGTTCATACAGTGAACTCGGTGTAGTTATTCCCCCTGAGGTCATCACAGAGGACAAGGGGGCGCTCTTCACATCTGGAGGAAAAAAATTTAACCTTCAAACACGGAAAGGTTTCTTCACAGTAAGAGCTGTGAGAATGTGGAATAGACTCCCTCCAGAGTTGGTTGTGGCCAGCTCAGTGGATTGCTGTAGGAAAGTCCTGGATCCTTTCTTGGATACACAGAATATAACTGGATATAACATTTATAGGGAAAGGTGATCCAGGGGAATATCCGATTGCCTCTCGGGGAGGTCAGGAAGGAATTTTTTCCCAGCAGAAGCTTTATTGTGTTTTTTTTGCCTTCCTCTGGATCAACTGTGGGTCTAGAATTTGTGTATATGGAGGTTTTCTATTTGTTTGGTTTTTTTTCTCTGTTAATTGAACTGGATGGTGTCTTTTGGCAACCTGACTAACAATGTAACTATGGAATACACACAAAGATTTATCTTTAAACACTGGCAGTCACAATTGCAGGGAGGTTTTTAATGACATTTTATTGCAGCGTTTGTGATTTCTTCACTGCATTTGTATTTTGATTGGATATGTTGCCATTTATTGCAGGTTGAGATGATTGAATTAATTAGCGAGGCACTTTTTTATTACATGGGAGCACTGATATATAATATATCCTATATGTGGGCGAGCTGCTTTTTCCTTTTTTATTTTTTTTCTATGGACTAACCCACATGCAAGAAAATTATATTTGAAATATATTTTAAAAAATATTCTTCCCAATATTTTTTTTTTTAACACACACACACACATATATAGACTGTATGTTGAAATGCTTTTTTATTACAAAATATATGAAAAAATATTTTTCAGAAATACATTTCACATATATTGTATGTTTTTAAAAATATACAATATATGTGAAATGTATATATATATATACTGTATACAGTATATATATATGTGTGTGTGTGAATATATATATCTATATATATATATAGATATTTATATATATATATATATATATATATCTATATATATATATACACAGTCGTACCTCGTTTCCGAATTTAATGCGTTCTGCGGGACGTTTTGTGTGGCGAAAAATTCGTAAAACGAAACGCGGTTTCCAATAGGAATGCATTGAAATCCAATTAATCCATTTCAGAGGTCAGAAAAAAGTTAAAAAAAAGTCTTTTATCTGTTCAAAACTCTTTATGAGCTGCACTTTAAAGGCATAAATACTGTACAGGGACGTGATTAATTTCCAGAGTGGCTCCAAAACTCGATGCAAAACTGCTCCAACATCTCCATGTGCTACCCACAGACTCCATGCACAGGGCCGGCGCTATAAACCCCCCAGGCACAATTCATCCTGGGGAAACTTGCTTCGCATTGCGAGAAATATTTGTAAACCGAGGCATTATTTTCAGTGGATTTTCATTCTTAAACCAAAAATTACGGTGACTGAGGCATTCGTAAACCGAGGTACCACTGTATATATATATATATTCACACACACATATATATAATGAATGTTGAAATGCCTTTTTATTACAAAATACATAAGGAATATTTTTCAAAAATACATTTCACATATCCTGTATGTCTTTAAAAATACAAATCTACATTTTTGGAACGCATTCATATGTAAAAATAGATGTTAAAATGACTTTTTTTATATGTTAAAAAAAATCTGAAGAATATATGTAAAAAAAATATATATATTGAATACGACCAAAATTGTAGTATTTCAGATATTTGTCAATATATTTGGGAAGAATATTTTTAAAATATATTTAAAATATATTTTTCTTCCATATGGGAACGCATTTAAACGGTTGGTCATCTGTTTACATCCGTTAATGTCGGTATCCGTTAACATCTGTTTTTTTGAATGGAAGAAAACCCTACTTTTCTTCCATAAAAAAAAACAGAACGAACAAAAAAAAGGATGTAATTGGGTGAAAAACGGATGTAAATGGATGAAAAACGGATGTAAACGGATCAGTTTTTGCGTGGAAAAAATGTGGCTAAACTGATGAAAAAAAAGGCATGCCCGTGTGAAAGGGGCCTAAATCAATAACCCAAATATTTATCCAATAGCCATAAGGGGTCAGGAAGTAATTTTTTTTTTGTGAATTGAAAAGCACTTTGTACATTTTTTTCTTCTGGATAAGTGAAGATTTGTTTTTTTTTTACTTATTGTAATTATTTTGGTTTAATTTTCATCCTATTTAACTGGAAGAGCTCTTAACACCAGCGGCCGTGCCTTATAATGTGCATAGTGCATGCCCACTGGTGTGCGTCGTGTTGGTACGGTGCAATGCGTTGTGCAATGTTTACGTTTTTTTTTTTCAATTCCATGCAAAAAAACAACAAAAAAAACCCAAAAAACTCCTAAATCATGTTTTTTTTTAAAGCGTTATTACACCTAGAACACACATTTCAGATACTAAAACATTTCTGCTGAGCTGAACGCCCGCGGCGGTCTTCTTTCTGACCCCAGCACTGGATTCTCTGGCTGTTTCAGGGTTTATATCATAACTCAGGGAGAGGGAACCCCCTTGAAAAAGGTTGTAGTAGGAGGGCGGAGCTGGGAACTCCAGAGACCTCTTTCCAAAGGCCATGAAAAAATTAAGCCTCCAATCAACGGCGGACTGACAACTCATGGGGCCCCCAGGCAATAGGAAATCATGGGGCCCCTGTGTCCTTGCCCACACTCAAACCACACCCAAAAAAGCCTATGAAAGGGCCCCCTACTGACCCCGGGCCCTTGGCAGTGCCCGGGTGCCCGAATGGTCAGTCCGCCCCTGTTCCAATGGACAGTTCACCTATAACTAGCTCCGCCTCTGGAAGGACCCTTTAAGTGAGGTGCTACACGTGAAGCCTTCCGATACATTGTATTAAAACTGTTTATATTTTTTTTTATTGTGAATCTCCGTTGCTATGGCGAGGTGAGCGGTAAACACAGACGCGAGCGGCGGCCCTGCCAGGGAACTCATCTTCTCTGTGTGTTTTACGTGCGAGCCTTCAGGCTTACAAAATCTCTTGAGCAAATAGTTAGACCCGGACGAGCTTCAGTGTTTAATGCCGACACGATGGTGACATCCTATGTGTGAGCGCGCCGCTGCCGAGGATTAGGCGAGCCCAACAGAATAATGAAATAGATTCTTGAGCTGGACAGGCCAGGAGACGGTGCAAAGAATTATGGGAGCCAGAGATCTGAAACAATGGTATAATGGTAGGCCGTGGATGGCAGCTGGTGGGCCATCGAGGACTGTAGGCCTCAAAGGGCAATGAGAGACCCCCAGGACCCAAGGTATCATTGATTTTTATACTCATCTCTGACAACAATTTGTCCCCCTTGGCATGTCATTGCTGAGGTCTGAACAAGGAAACTCCCAAGCGTTGGTCTGGACTAGTTTAGAGAACTATGGGCGCCAGAGATCTGAAACAATGGTAGGCCGAGGATGGCAGCTGGTGGACTATTGAGGACTGTAGGCATCAGAGGGCAATGACTCTCCTTTTAATGGAGACCCCATGGCCCAAATTACGGTTGGAAAAATTGAATTCTTATATATTCATCTGTGACTGCAACTTGCCCTCCTTGGCATGTCATAGCTGAGGTCTGATCAAGACAAAAAATTGGATTGGTCTGGACCAGTTTAGAGGTAGAATGATAGGCTGGGAATGGCGGCTGGTTGACCAGAGGGAGCATCGAAAAGGGAATGGTCCTACTTTTAATGCAGACCCCATGGCCCAAATTACTGTTACTGAATAATTGAATTCTTGCAGATTCATCTGTGACTGTGACTTGTCCTCCTTGGCATGTCATAGCCGAGGTCTGATCAAGACAAAAAGATGGGCATTGGTCTGGACCGGTTTAGAGGTACAATGATAGATTGGGGATGGCAAATGTTGGACCATTATGGACAACGGACATCAAATGGGATGACTATCCTTTTATTGGAGACCTCATGACCAAAGTTTCTGTTTTTGAAAAATTGAATTCTTCTGTGACCGTGATTTGTCCTCCTTGGCACGTCATAGCTGAGGTCTAAAAAAAGACAAAGTGGCCCTATGTCTGCACCAGTTTAGAGATACCATACAAGTTTCCAATAGGGAACATAGAGATAGGGGCAATGTCAGCCAACCTTACAGAATGTCTACAGCAATCTTTTTCAACCTTTTTACCCAAAAGAAACTTTTGAAATATTTTATAGGCCTGCTAAGATTAGTCCCTTCTCATTGGGAAAATGCCCTTTACATTGGTGGTGGTGAGTTGGAAGAATGCTCCCCTTACAGCCATAACTCTGAACTATGCAGGCATCATCACACAGAAGGTCAGTTACCCCACAGCTCAAGGAACCCCTAACCATCTTTGGAGGAACTCTAGGGGTCCACAGAAACCCCATTGAGAATGGCTGATCTACAGCAAAAAGGAGTATTCCAGATAGGCATTCAAACCAGCTCGTGGCCCCCAGCCCACCCACATGTCATCTCTCCATTCCACCTTGCTGTTCCTCCAGTGCACATGGATGCTCTGCCAACTAACCCTCTGTAACATCTGCCATCCCCCCGGAGATCCAAGTATGATCCTCCAAATAAGGAGGCTAGGTGTTCCCTGGTTAGAGCTTCACCATCAAATGGTCTACTACAGCCTTTCCCAACCTTTGTAACACAGAAGACCCTCCTCCTAGTAACATTGTATCTACAGCTCGCCCTGTGTGATCAATAAGCCGATATATCATGAATAAAATAAGGAATGTGACATGTTTGACCATCCAGGGCTCTTCTGTACAACAAAATCATGTTTGGTAATAAAATGAAAACCCTTAGAATAGTATTAGTCAAAAGAGCCGGAGCAATTGTAGTGTTCCCTCGTCAGTGGGAAGAATGTCCCTTACATTGGGGGTCAGTGGGAAGAATGTCCCTTACATTGGTGATCAGTGGGAAGAATGTCCCTTACATTGGGGGTCAGTGGGAAGAATGTCCCTTACATTGGGGGTCAGTGGGAAGAATGTCCCTTACATTGGGGGGTCAGTGAGAAGAATGTCCCTTACATTGGGGGTCAGTGGGAAGAATGTCCCTTACATTGGGGGTCAGTGGGAAGAATGTCCCTTACATTGGTGATCAGTGGGAAGAATGTCCCTTACATTGGGGGTCAGTGGGAAGAATGTCCCTTACATTGGGGGTCAGTGGGAAGAATGTCCCTTACATTGGGGGGTCAGTGGGAAGAATGTCATTTACATTGGGGGGTCAGTGGGAAGAATGTCCCTTACATTGGGGGTCAGTGGGAAGAATGCTCCTTACATTGGTGGTCAGTGGGTAGAATGTCCCTTACATTGGGGGTCAGTGGGAAGAACGTCCCTCACATTGGGGGTCAGGAGAAGGTCCCTTACAGTCAGTGGGAAAGGAAGAATGTCCCCTTACATTGGGGGTGTCAGTGGGAAGAATGTCCTTACATTGGGGGGTCAGTGGGAAGAATGTCCCTTACATGGGGGTCAGTGGGAAGAATGTCCCTTACATTGGGGGTCAGTGGAAGAATGTCCCTTACATTGGGGGTCAGTGGGAAGAATGTCCCTTACATTGGGGGGTCAGTGGGAAGAATGTCCCTTACATTGGGGTCAGTGGAAGAATGTCCCTTACATTGGGGGGTCAGTGGGAAGATGTCCCTTACATTGGGGGGTCAGTGGGAAGAATGTCCCTTACATTGGGGGTCAGTGGGAAGAATGTCCCTTACATTGGGGGGTCAGTGGGAAGAATGTCCCTTACATTGGGGGGGTCAGTGGGAAGAATGTCCCTTACATTGGGGGGTCAGTGGGAAGAATGTCCTTTACATTGGGGGTCAGTGGGAAGAATGTCCCCTTACATTGGGGGGTCAGTGGGAAGAATGTCCTTACATTGTGGTCAGTGGGGGAAGAATGTCCCTTACATTGGGGGGTCAGTGGGAAGAATGTCCCCTTACATTGGGGTCAGTCCCTTACATTGGGGGGTCAGTGGGGAAGAATGTCCCTTACATTGGGGGTCAGTGGGAAGAATGTCCCTTACATTGGGGGTCAGTGGGAAGAATGTCCCTTACATTGGGGGTCAGTGGGAAGAATGTCCCTTACATTGGGGGTCAGTGGGAAGAATGTCCCTTACATTGGGGGATCAGTGGGAAGAATGTCCCTTACATTGGGGGTCAGTGGGAAGAATGTCCCTTACATTGGGGTCTTACAAATTGGGGGTTCAGTGGGAAGAAGTACATTGGGGGTCAGTGGGAAGAATGTCCCTTACATTGGGGGTCAGTGGGAAGAATGTCCCTTACATTGGTGATCAGTGGGAAGAATGTCCCTTACATTGGGGGTCAGTGGGAAGAATGTCCCTTACATTGGGGGTCAGTGGGAAGAATGTCCCTTACATTGGGGTCAGTGGGAAGAATGTCCCTTACATGGGGGTCCAGTGGGAAGAATGTCCCTTACATTGGGGGTCAGTGGGAAGAATGTCCCTTACATTGGTGATCAGTGGGAAGAATGCCCCTTACATTGGGGGTCAGTGGGAAGAATGTCCCTTACAGGGGGAAGAATGTCCCTTACATTGGGGGTCAGTGGGAAGAATGTCCCTTACATACAGTGGGAAGAATGTCCCTTACATTGGGGTCAGTGGGAAGAATGTCCCTTACATTGGGGGTCAGTGGGGGAATGTCCCTTACAGTGGGAAGAATGTCCCTTAGATTGGGGGTCAGTGGGTCCCTTACATTGGTCAGTGGGTACTTATTTCAGTCCCCTTACATTGGTGTACTTATTTCATACATTTGGGCTCACTCATTAAAGTCACTTGTCTCATGTAGCGCATTCGTGGCCCCACCCTCTGCGTCATTCTTGCACATTTCCAATTTCGTTTTGTTGTTGATTGTAAAGGAAATTGCTTGAGATCTCACAGATTTGCAGATTATGTTAACGCTTCACAAGCTAAGACCGGTGCTCGTGGAATGGGCTGAAATCCCACTTAAACCGATAATTCCCCGGATTTCCGGATCTCCATTGTCCCTCCTCGCCGGTTTCTGTAATTTTAATACTTTACACGTATTTTGTATTTACTGCTAAGCCCCGCTTAGGCTTCACGGCAACTTTTCCGACCTCATTACCGACAAGCCAATAATTAGATTTGATTTCATTCATATCTCTGTTTCGTCACCTTCCACCCTGCTGGTGATTGAAGGAGATCCATGACCTCATTTCTACTTACAGCAAGTATGGAATTGTGTCTGGACAGGGCGAGCGTCTTCCCAGGACTATTCTCAATCATCATTTTGCAATTTATTTGGCGGATGACGCGTCACGGCAGGATTTTCGGAAGAATGACTTCCGGCGTCGCGGGGGAGCACAGAAAACGGCGGGGTCGGATTGGGGTTTTGCCCGTTCATTGGAACCCGCCTCTTGAGTTTTGGCCGGAGGGCCGGACTTTCAGGCTGAATTATGCCCAGGTTTGTTCAACCCACTTCCTGTGAGCGCAGGGTGTCATGGACACACCCCCCTGGGGGCGCAGCATCACTCCGGCCTGGAATCACAGCACTGCGCCACAGGATGGCACTCATGCATCACGATGTTCTGTGCAGAAGTAAGGACCGCCCACCGTGATGCCAGCTTGTCATGTGATCAGCTAGAAATGCTTTAGTGTGAGGGCAACAATGTATACTATAGAAATATTTGTGGGCCATAAGAGTCCCCCAATACATCAGGGTCCCAACCAGAGCCCCCCAATACATCAGGGTCCCAACCAGAGCCCCCCAATACATCAGGGTCCCAACCAAAGCCCCCCAATACATCAGGGGTCCCAACCAGAGCCCCCCCTTTTATCAGGGTCCCAACCAGAGCCCCCCCCCTTACATCAGGGTCCCAACCAGAGCCCCCCCATACATCAGGGTCCCAACCAGAGCCCCCCCATACATCAGGGTCCCAACCAGAGCCCCCACTTATATCAGGATCCCCACCAGAGTCCCCCCTTATATCAGGGTCCCCATCAAAGGTCCCCATTACATGAGGGTCCCCATCAGAGTCCCCCCTTATATCAGTGTCCCCATCAGAGTCCCCCCTTACATCAGGGTCCTAACCAGAGTCCCCCCTTATATCAGGGTCCTAACCAGAGTCCCCCCTTATATCAGGGTCCTAACCAGAGTCCCCCCTTATATCAGGGTCCCCATCAAAGGTCCCCATTACATGAGGGTCCCCATCAGAGTCCCCCCTTATATCAGTGTCCCCATCAGAGTTCCCATGAGTCCCCCCATACATCAGGATCCCCACCAGAGCCCCCCTTTACATCAGGGTCCCCATCGGTGTCCCTCCTTACAACAGGATCCCCACCAGCGCCCCCCTTTACATGAGGGTTCTCATCAGACTCCCCCCTTATGTCAGGGTCCCCATCAGAGCCCCCACTTACATCAGTACCCCCATCAGAGCCCCCTTTACATTAGGGTCCCCATCACTTTCGTCCTGTACATCAGAATCAAAGACCATAGGCAGCCACTGCTGACCTTAATCCCCAATCAGTTCAGTGGGGACTGGCTTCCTCCTCCTCCTACAAAGTTACAATGTACAGTCTGATCACTGGGGGAGGAGATTGAGGAAATGCCTCCTCCTCCTTCTACAAAGTTCCAATGTACAGTCTGATCACTGGGGGAGGGGAGACTGAGGAAATGCCTCCTCCTCCTTCTACAAAGTTACAATGTACAGTCTGATCACTGGGGGAGGAGACTGAGGAAATGCCTCCTCCTGCCTGCAGCAGAGTCACTGACTGGATAGTGAAGCTTTCCTGAGCAGTGATGCTGTTGCTGTGTCCTGGGCCGTGTCGAGATTGGTGGAGACACTGACAGGTCCTCTTTACAGGCAGTCTATGAGGACTCACACAGGGAGGAGACATAAAACGCACGTTTCCTGGCTGCTCTGTAAACTCCCAGTCATGGCTGACATGCTCCCAGGTATGCTGTGGCTGATGCAGAATACACCGATGCGTGGCCGCTCCCCTGAGCCCGCATCGGCCGCCAGCATGTAAGGGGGAACCCCGGGAAGGGCTCAGGAATGTTTCTGTAAACTGAAATCTTGACACGGGCCTTCCGTCCAACCTGCAGGAAACAATCGATACAAAGCTGCTGCCACCGACCGCAATCCCTGTATTCATAGACTAGCCATCACACACAATGCAATTCAAACCGTAACCTGCCTTCTGATAGGCCAGCTGTGACAGCGACCCTGCGAGAGAAGCACCGGTACTTACCTCTCCTCCTGCGGCCCCACACCGCCACTGGACTCTGCCAGGAAAAATGACACCTCTGAGAGTCACTATCTCCCCCCTTTTAGCACTCAGTGGTTCCTGCCACCAACCTCAATATTATACTCCCACCCCACTTTAGTACTTGGGGGCTCCTCATTATCACCCCCGCCTCTTTAGTACTTGGGGGCTCCTCATTATCACCCCCGCCTCTTTAGTACTTGGTGGCTCCTCATTATCACCCCCGCCTCTTTAGTACTTGGTGGCTCCTCATTATCACCCCCGCCTCTTTAGTACTTGGGGGCTCCTCATTATCACCCCCCCCGCCTTTAGTACTTGGGGGCTCCTCATTATCACCCCCGCCTCTTTAGCGCTTGGTGGCTCCTCATTATCACCCCCGCCTCTTTAGCACTTGGTGGCTCCTCATTATCACCCCCGCCTCTTTAGCACTTGGGGGCTCCTCATTATCACCCCCCCCGCCTCTTTAGCACTTGGTGGCTCCTCATTATCACCCCCGCCTCTTTAGCACTTGGGGGCTCCTCATTATCACCCCCGCCTCTTTAGTACTTGGGAGCTCCTCATTATCACCCCCCGCCTCTTTAGCACTTGGTGGCTCCTCATTATCTCCCCCGCCTATTTAGTACTTGGTGGCTCCCTCCACCAGTCTTATTATCTCCCCCGCCCCCCCCCTCCTTTAGCACTCAGTGGTTCCTGCCACCAACCTCAATATTCCACCCCCCCCCCCTTAAGCACTTGGTGGCTCCACCAACCTCATTATTCCCCCCCCCCCTTTAGCACTTAGTGGTTCCTGCCACCAACTTCAAAATTCTACCACCCCTTCTTTAGCACTTGGTGTCTCCCACCACCAACCTCATTTTCTCACCCCCCCTTTAGCACTCAGTAGGTCCTGCCACCAAACTCACTACCCCCCCGCCAACATTAGCACTCAGTGTCCACCAACCTCATTATCTCCCCCCTCGTTTTAGCACTCAGTGGTTTCTACCACCAACTCACCATCTACCCCCCAACCCCCCCTTCCCCCGCCCTTCTGTAGCAGTCAGTAGTTTGACACCAACCTTATTATCTCCCCCCCCCTCTTTAGCACTCAGTGGATCCTACCACCAACCCCACTTTCTCCCCCCCCCCCCTCTTTAGCACTCAGTGGATCCTACCACCAACCCCACTTTCTCCCCCCCCCTCTTTAGCACTCAGTGGATCCTGCCACCAACCTCACCTCTGGAGGAGCATTTTCAAGAGCAGGTCAGCATTGGCCGCCTCCATGTTCCTCTTATGACCCACCTCTGGCTACTCTTTTCATTTCTTTTTGGGTGGAGCAGGGAGAGGTCAGAGACCCCCCGTTTTCACCCGCGCTCCTGTTGGGGAGATTTTGTGAACACAGGTTAAACACAAAATCATTGGAGGAGGGTTAGAACCTCAGACAGTGTCTGCATTGCTTTCTGTGCCTTGATGACCAATGACAACTGCTCCTCCCATTTCTTGTGTGGGTGTCACCAGGACAGGAAGTGAGGGAAATCTTCCCAATGGAGTCACAGGCAGCACCAACATGTCAGGGGTTCTGATCCTTCCCTTTTCTGTCCAAAGCTGAAAACTTCGGGGGCTTTAAAAACTCCACAGATTCCCTTTACAGAAGACCGAACAAGTCCGTCCGCCGTCCGTAACTGTCTTTATAAATCCCTCGTGTCAGCGAATGGAAATGGAAGTTTCCTCTTTTCACAGTGAACTCCTCAAGAGCCTGCAGAGATTTTGTAAATGGCTAATGAACGCCCCCCGCTTTGTCACCCTGTCGGGCGTATGTAAAGCAGCCAAAAAAAAAACCCAACAAAGAAGAATAGCCCGTTGAAAGATAAAGTCAAACCAGCTTTTGCTGCAACATTCACCTTCAATCCAGAGATTTACCCTGCAGTACTTTTTTTCTGCCACTAGATGCCCTCAGTCTGATGGCCAGCCCACTTCCTCTGAGCCCGGGTCACCCTCATCCCGCCCCTAGCCTGTGACTGAACAATGCTTGAAGAAGCAGCACAGTGATGTCACTCTGCTCTCTCCTCCTATCAGCATGCCCCTGGTCAGCTCATGAACTGATTGGCTCCTTTTGTTGCTTCTTCCCCCTTCCAGTCTGGGCTCTGCTGTACAGGAGCTGTATGAAACCGATGCTAGGCCACATTCAGGTGTTTAACCCCATCCAGCCCCGGTGTTCCATTAACACGGATGTCCTTCTAGGGGGGCAGGAATGGCTGGTTAGGCACAGGAGCACTGTGATTGGCCGTCACAGAGGTCACATGATCGGGAAC